CATGATACAAACACAAAGACACTTCACAACCGGTTTCGCTCTTCCTGGAGCTCATCAGGTGAGCAAAGTCCTCCGGTCCCCGTTAATCTCATGTCCTACTTGAGCGCGAAATGGACAGATGTAGACAAATGTTCTCAGCTGCATACAAATGAAGTCGTGACGGTATGCTCCACCGAATCCATTCCATGGTCTCTTTCATGACGGTTCGCTCCAGTTGAATGTGCTGCATCGGGTCGTCGCATGTTCCGTTTGGAGTGCCATTTGCAGTAGGCTTTGTTTACACATAAACTCCTCAGAAGTTGTTGAAAAACCTTTGAGTAAACAGCTGTGTCAAAAACAAACTGGTCAAGATTCAAACACACTCCCATGCACTCAACTATGTCATTCACCCACCGGAAGCCGCGTCCGTTCCATTGGTGTCGTGTCCGTCAGTAAAAACTCTTGATTATCTCCAAAGCATTCGCCCCGGGTGATGTTTGTGTACATTCAGATGACGTAAAAACTCACGGGGTCTACCTTCATCTCCAAAGCAAAGCATGTGACTTCATTGGCAAGGGTGTGCAAACACGTAATGAATGTGATCAATTTTGCCGTGTGTGTGGATTACAGATGGCGAGACTATACTTCCCACTGCTTGTCTGATCGGAACAGGTGCCATGTAGATTTTAGACAGTCCATGGAATCGTTGTTGAGCCGTATAACCTGTCCTAAATGTTTCATTATGGATATCAAATATCTACCAACTTCAACTTCTATTCATCATTGAAGTAATAGTTCCATTGGTAACTTCTCGGTTAGCTCCATCGACTAGATATCCTTGACCAGTTGAAGATAGTCACTCTTGTTTTTTCAAACTACTGTGCCATCCGCCTTCGTACTGAAAATACTGTACACCTGTTCCAGTGTGTTCAACGTTCTCCGATCTGACGGGTTTTAGGGCCATGACCAATTGCACCTTCTCAGCTTGCGCTAGAGAAAGAGTTTGAAAGAAAGATTCAACAACAGGGATCATTTCCTATGCTTTGTGTACTATTTTACCCATTGCGAAGTCTAGTCCAATCTCGATCAGACAATGCTCATCCTCACTGAGTGGTCTATCTGATAAGTTGTCTACACTACAGAAATCGGTGGATGGTTCCACCTTTACGTGAACCTCATCATCATCATCAAAGACAGCAACATCAGTGTTGGCACTGATGCTTCACTGCCGTACAACCATAGGTTTCGTCTAGTTACATATGTAGATATATATGCAATTGTATTAAAAGCTCTACAGTGAAGAGAAGAGAAAAAGAGTGGATGAGGGAGGGGACCTAGTGCTGGCCTATCTCAAGCATACTGAGGTGCCTACACCTCCAATCGCTCAATCAAACAATCTGGAAAGAAACTGACAGCACGAACGCCACTGACATCGATTGATTGCCATTTCTTGCAACGTCTCCAGCCAAGCACAGACGGGATCACGGGGACCCCATCCTGGAAGTCGCACAACACCAACAACACCCAAACTCTTCGTGATCTCTTTCACGCCTTTCTGCCAAGTCATGTGCTGTCCACCTCGCACTTTGCGCCATCCTGAAGGAGACACGGAGAACACTAGTCTCGGTAGACGGTGTTTCGGCATGCGTAGCACATGACCGAGCCATCGCAGTCGATGATGCTGGATGTTTTC